GGGGCTCGAATCCACGATCTCTTAGTTTGAAATCCAACGCTTTAACCCACTACGTCACGAGCTCACTGTCTTGTGGGTCCAGGGCCAACCATTGCTGGCGTGTACAGGGCACAGCATAATGCGTTTTGAATAAAGAAAGCTCAGCCACGACCGACTCTATGCGTATGCAGGAAAGTGTAGGAAGGCTCGGCCCTTCAAAGTATCACCGAATAAACTGTGGTACCTCTGCGTTTCTCAGTCCTTCAGACAGGCAGGCAGGCAACTTTCAGTTGTTAAACTGGTGCATCCAGTCTGGCTACTTAGTCACAACCTCGAAAAAGTTAAGTAAGCCTGGTATACGTGGCAACAGGCTGGCATATTTCAAATTCGCGTTACGTACACCGAATACACGACTGGAGCAAGAGCATCAATTAGTATGTGCGTAGAGGGGTACCGACGACAAACATCGCAGGAGTGACTGACTCATTAATTTTAGAAGACGGATGATTAGTACTGGTACTGGAGGAAGTATAATCCAATAAATTTTAAGACTGACTGGTACTGGGGTATTTGACAAAAGACTGTCACGGCTGAATAGGGTCAAATGACGTTGAATTCGCTACTGAGACAATGGTAAAGCCCACCAATCAGTGTTTTTGCAACGTTGAACAATGATCAGCATCTAGTGGATTAACAAGCAGGGATTGAGTTGTCTCAAGTGCACGGCTTTTTAAAGCATATCAAAACTTTCTTCGTCGATGTCCTTGCGTTAGCGTTGATGGATCTGTCGTCGTACCTCAACATTGAACAGGACGATAATTTCAATGACATTGGTGAAAAAAAGTGAGAAGGATTTGTGCTGCATTGAAATTACTTATTTCTCAATCCCGCCCTACTATACCAGCAATACTAGATCAAGACCACTGAACAGAAGGGGACATTCATTTTTTCCAATCATACCTGTACTTTTAGCGCTTTGTTTTCATTCACAAAGGAAATTAAACATTGTATCCGGACAACGGAAAAAAATGGCGGATTCAGTAAGTTTTCGAAAGTGCAAGAAAGGTGAATCCTAATCCTTCGATTAACCAATCTCTCGTCTATGTAGTTTAACGTATTTTTGTATCCCCATTTTTGGGCATTAAAAAGAAGCACAAGAAATCGTACCTGACACTTGATTGCTTTTTGGCCCGCACTCAGGTAGTTCGGAGTAGGAGTGGACGGATACGGATAGGGAACGTAGGCCGTCAGATCATGAGACCAAAGCTGATTTGGAGGTGCGGGAGGCCAGATTGGTGCACCCGGTTCGGGCTTGCAGTCGATGGCGTCATTTTCGGCGCATCGTGGGGTGCACCAAGCCTGTTGGTGGTCTGAACTCGAGGAGGAGCCTGAAGTTGCTCCGCTCTGACACGGTTCCACGGGTATTTGAAACTCCCTGAAAGATTCAAGGGTAGCGGGTGACGATGACGTCAGAAAGGCGCTGCTAGCTTGAAAAGGCGGAAGACTCGTTGGTGCCGTCACC